AAGTGGCGCACTTACCATTTGCGCGGTCCTGGGTTCGAATCCCTGGTCGACACCCATAGCTTAGGCCAACCAAGCCTTCTACCCTCCGGGGACGGTGAATTGGTACCAGATTCGTCTGGGAGGATAAAACACTGACTTGTACATCGGCTGGCCACCGCAAGTCATTGTATAGGCCACATCGCATTCAGTAAGCCACTACGATTCTGAATGGAAGTAGAATGCGTGCCGCATCCAAAAAGGGACTGATTACCGGCGACCACCTTTATCCTTTGGAGCGAGCCCATCTGTCGCACGCTTCTGAAAATGAAGCAAAGAGAAAATTATCCCCAGCTTTGCCCCGTGCCGCTTTCATAGCTAATGCATCATCTTACAAGGCATAGATTCTCGCATAGCTAGATCCTGATTGCGGAAATCTGCGAAATCATACCGAGTCATCCAAAAGCATCTGCCGAATTCTTCTCAGGAACATCTCGAAAATGTTAAGTCCACAACAGAGTCGTTCTTTGGTCATGAGTTCAGCTTCTCTCGATATGGCAATTTGCTGGAAATACACACGAAATAGAGATCAAGGAGTGACTTGCACTAGTCATAGTCCTATTTTGAGCTTCTTGTAGGTTGAAAAAGTAGTTTGGCGAATGGTTTCCTGGTCCTTTGACTTTCCAGGCTATAAAGGAGGCGCCAGTTGAATAAAAGTTGTTAACAATCGCGGTTGAAATAATCCACAGACTTAGATAGAACAATTCACGCATAGAAGAGTTTCGAATTACACAGAAATACAACCTTTGAAATAGTTGCGCAGAAGGCAAAAACTCCTCCCGTGAAACATCGAAGATCTTCACGATTTTCTTTGACTGTCCGGAAACAGATACTCGAGACAGAAACCCGCTTATCCCTTTATCCACTGCGCTCCTTTCCCCCGACAATTAGTTCTATTTCCTGGATATGGTGATTGCCTGCTGGGCTCCAAACCAGGGTACGTCCCAGCCATGGAGGGGAGGGAGGAATTTTCGCAAAATAAGACTCCCTCTCGAACTCTCTCTTTTGATGGTACCTCCTTTATCCATCCTGCCTACCATCTTCCTACATTTTCCCAAAACTGTGCCGTAGAACGGATAGAGGGTAGACACCTCTGACAACCATCGGAAATACTAGCTCTGCCACGGCGCCAAGCAGGGGATATAACACGCGTGAAAGGGGAAAAATCAGCATTCGGAGAGATTTTTCGAAGACCCGAAACGGCCAAGTCCCCTACAGCGACAAAATCCGATCACACTGGTAATTCTCTAACGTATGAGATGCCCTGCTCCAAACATACTACTGGAACTGTAGGAGTGAACCTGCCGGTTGCGCCGTGAACGCTACGACTTTGATGAAACAGACTGCTCTTTCAATTCAGTACCGTAGGTGCGACGGGACGGCAAAAACTGAGTTAATAAAGTCATTCACACCATGACCCAATCGACTCAACGGGGCGGTGCTGCGGCGTGTCATATCGTTGACATAGAAAGCCCATGCTATTTTGCGCTGATGTGTGAGCTCTAAACGAACTTCGACACATTACGTTGGCGAATGAGCTGTTCGAAAAGAGCTTACAAAGCAAAACAATGCTAGATGGGTAGACCATGATAATCTCCATCTCCCGACGGCTTACTGTTCCGTAGAATCCCTCTCCACATGCTTGTTCTGAGTCTTCTTTTTGACGCCAAAATATCAATACGCTCTACCAGGAAAGGTCAACAGGTCAGCCCGGCCATTTCCAATGAGGTGCACACCGTTGTACGAGTCTTGGGACGGTGAACTCGAATCTACCTTCAGAATTTGCGGAACGACTCTCTGAACGGAGTTATGGAGGGTTTTATCCCCGCGTGGTTGTTTCACATGCTATCGCGAGGAAACGTGGAAGCGTCTTTACATACAAGAATGGAGTCAATTGAAACGTGGCAGTAGAGCGCAACGGATAGCGAGCGGGTTTACTAGGCGGGACGTCTAGAATCGGTTCCAGCGGAGTGCCTTCTTTTGTAATTTGTCCAAGAACATGCGACAAAGGCTTCTAGAGCATCTCTGCTCCGCCTGCACTATCCTGTAAAAGAAACGTCGAACGGCAGTTTTTTTCGATAAGTGTAGACCCATTATGGCCCTGAAAAGTGCTCTTCTTGTCCCTCCCCCACCGTAAGCACAATATGCACGAGGGTTTTTTGCAAGAAATATCCATCATCATTCATGTCAGCAGCTGTTTTTAGATTAGCCCCCTGGAAACAGATTTTCTAGCGGCGATATCCTTGATAATTTCGACCTAACTTGGAAAATTGAGTTATTCCATAGGTAATTAGCAGCAATTTGGAGCTCACCTACCATCGATGACTGGTCCCGGAATGAGATTTTCTTTCCCCAGTAATCAAGAAAATGATGCAGACCACGAATTAATTAAGACAGGTATTGTTCTTTGGGCGAGAGAGAATGACTAAAGAGTTCTTTCGTTCGAGAACCTGTCATCAGCGGCAGCATGCTAGTCATAGTATTCGCCTGTTAGCTATCAGTCACCATGCCATGACTATCCATACCCCAGTTTTTTCGAAGTTGAGTCAGAACACCAGATTTCGCTAAAGTGACGTCTCTAGGGGTTATATTGACGGGCCCACCCTGAACACGAATATGATAGCTATTCTGCGCGAAGAGCGCTGTGAGTCGCGCTACATGTGCCAACGCTTCGGCGCCAGCGCGCCCGTAAGAAGAAAAACAGTAAGAAAAACCTCCATAACTCCGCTCAGAGAATCGTTCTGCAAATTTTGAAGACAGTTCTGAGTTCATCGTGTCAAGATGAGTACAATGATGTGCATCTCATTTGCATACCGACCGGGCTGACCTCGTTGAACCTTCCCTGGTCAGTCCAGATGAATATACACTTAAGAAGGCCATCCAGCATTTCAGCCGTGGTTAACTACAGGGGGGGGGGGCAAAAAAAGTCATTCCGGCCGAGTCACATATGAGCGAAGTTTTCGCAGCCCAGACAGAGGAAGTGGATATGAGTACCAGGGCGGAAGATACCCAAGATCTTCCTCTATAAGCAGGAGCCGGCTGCCGCCATTCACCTTCATGTACACCAAAATATGAAGTCATCTCCAGTCGCGGCCTGAGTGGAGAACGCCTTTGGAATTCACGTGGCCTCCAAACAGCTGCGGAACTTCTTGAATGGAATCACCCATGGATAGCTACCTGGAGACCAGTACTCTTGATCTGCAAGACCTCAACATCGAGCAGCTCCGGCAACGTCGCTACGGTCCAGGACATCATCTTCACCTTCACCAGGCGCAGGTTGATGTGCGTGGACCGGCCGTACCTGGAATGGATGAACCGATATTTTCTTCGTGGGCCCCAGACTGAGGTGTGTGCGCTGGTGGCTACATCGAGCAACTCGAGGAGAATATCCCATCTTCATGTCGTCGCCCGTACCTTCTTGGAAACTTTGTACTGCTACAGGATTGGGTGACAACACATTTTCGAAGGGCGTCCGAAACAACTTTCCGCGCTTGGAATGGAAGAACGTTGAGTACCTGGAAAAGATGGAGTATTTAAGCGGGGGTCCTGAACTAAACCCCCTCAATTACTCGGTTCGGGCGGAGCTCAACAGGGTGGTCTACAGTGGCGGAGAAATCAACGATCTCGCTCAACTCCGGTACCCACTCACTTTCGCGCGGCCGAATCTCTCGATGGCGCTCCTCCAGAAGGCTGTGGCGGAGTATCATTATAGTATTTAATGTGCTCTTTAATATGGTAGTAAAATGTCTTTTACATAAGTGTAAACTTATGGCGGCCTTGAGAGTGCATGGAGGCAAAATGAACTTTTTTTTGCCCCCCCTCTATACATTTTAGTATATTCACGTCCAAATGAAGATGAGACCAAAGAATGCCGGAAGTACTACGGGTAAGTGAAGGTGGACCGTAAAGTCAGGCAGATGGCTATATTACAGTCGCCAGCAGCATGAACGCGCTAACGGGCTTTATCACATTTATCCCCGTTTTTTGGGAAAGGAAGACTGAGTGCGGCCGAACCAGGAGCATGTGTCGAAAGTGAATAAACTGCCAGAACTATCAGCAACATACCTTATGGATCGCCCAAACTTCTCCAACTGACACTTTTGTTAGTTGGATACGAAAGCGACTTCTCCTCAAAAAGTGTTAGCACGTTGCTTTTCTTGTCAGCTAACACCTAAAAAGCATCTGCATCATTGCGTACCGGACTGTTTCATCTCAGAGCGCTGTCTCCTTTTGTCCATGGAAAATCATTGCGTAAAACGTACAAAATAGCCGCTGGAAAAGGATCTAGCCTGTTTAACTAGGATAATTCTAGAGAAACAAACTTTTAGCAGGAGGCTTCGGAATCACATTAGTAAAAGCAGCTGCTGCGAGTAGATCCTGCACCTCCTCTTGAGCCATACCTGACTCCAGTTGATGGCAAAAGAGTATGATATTGCCTAGTTCGCGTAGATCCTAAAAACGGCATTTCAAGGTTTATTCTAATGGAAGAAAATACTCCGGTTACAAAGAACAGCAACAGCTTCAGCATAAGCATTAGATTAATGGGAAAGTTTTGAACGAAAAAGAAGACTCCATTTCGCCAATCCTATGGGAAAGTAGGTCCTCCTTCTTGATTTTCTTTCACGGATATTCTTTTAGAAATCGGGCTGGCTGAAGAAAGTGTAATTATATAGAAGAAAGGTAAGTAGTCAGAGGCGGATACTAAGAGTTCATAGCCCAAACATGGCAAAAAAAGCTGTTGGAAGTTTCCACCTATTCTCCTGAATCACTGAGTTTCTATCCAGAGTGAAATGGTTAATGAGTCTTCAATAACTCCCTCTCCCATTCTTTTCTATACAGGTTTTTCTGCAAACTGCTGAAAACAAGTCAAACCAAAGATACCTCTGGCAGAATTCGGCCTTTGAGCTCGTATCTTTCCGCTACAACCACGTCGAGATGATGGAATGTAATACTCGAAACACTGAAGAATTCAACCTCTATTATGCAAAATACCCTGCAACCATGGAAGCAGGAGATCAACTGAAGTCAAACGAGTAGATCAAATAGTGGAACAGACCAGGGCTACCGTAGTCGCTCCGCGGTAACTTGCACACTTTCGGCATCACAGAGTAGATTGTTCTCAAGTGACGTTTCAGTTTGTCAGAGATTAATAATCGTGCCATTTTCAAGAGCTCTTCCAGGATTACAGCAATGCCTGACATTAATAGATTCCTACACAGGCGTGACTAAGCACATAAGCATCAATACCTTGATACTGCAATAGTCGTGCAATCGCCTTCAGGTGCGGCATTCCAATGAAGCGGGAGTAGGAGAAGAATATGTTTGCGAAAGCAGCATTCAGAGACTTCGATCCCCATAAATAGATGAAAGAAACTTGCGGCTTCTTTTCAACGAGCTGGTGTCATTCGAGAAACACTTCCTGACGCGAAACACATGAGTACTATAGCAATAATAGCTAGAGGCACTACCGTATCAGGAAAATGGTCGTGATTGAAAAACATTCACAACTGATCAACACTGTGAATACGATATAACAAACCTTGGCACGGACGAAGCGGTGGGTAGACCCGTTGTAAACGAAATTCGGAACGAAATCATAATTCAGTTCCCAGAATACATGCAATGTTATTCGTCCATGTGGTGCAGACACGTTGTGATTTGCCTTTAAATTAACAACACTCACACTGGACACTCTTACACGTGCACGAAGAAGGGAAACACGAATATAGGGAAGCGAAAGTCTTGTCACTGTCTTTGTAATTTGCTTGTTTATTGTTCCTACTCAACACACAGTGGGAGGTTCAGTCACAATACATCTCGTCATACTTAGCCATACAGGCAGTGCTCGCACCTAATGGACAGGTAACGCATTCCGCTTTCGCCAGAAAGTGAGCGAGGCTGGCGATACGGCAGTAAATCAGCGGCCTCTCGACTGATGTCATCAAAGTTGCTGAAAGTTTTCTCGGCTAAGAAGCCTCAAAGAGGCGGAGCAGGTAGCATCTCAGGGGGGACTACGACAGAGAATATTGTGAGCGGGACTGGTCTTCCAGCCTTCCTCCTCAATTATTTGGGTGGTCTACATAGCAGGTATGGGTCTCGCGCACTACGAACGAGGTGCCCCGAAGCTAGTTTCAATCATTTTTCTACTATGTTTTCTCCAACAAGTTTCCACCGGTTTCAGGAGCTGAGCGACACAAATGGTAGCGGTGACCGTCTGTTCTTACAGGGCAGCTCGTTCTGCAGCATCCCCCTCGCGTCCCAGGAGCAGCACAGGAGAACCTTCTCGGAATACATGCCCGGTTTGGACTGCTAGAATGGATCTTCTCCTTGAGAGAGACACACGGTACTGTGTGAGTTGAAATCACAGAGGACCCATCTCTCATCTCCACTAAGCAGTCTCCTAGAAACTCCTTCTGACGAGGGCGGAGAAGGGGAGACTCACCAAGGGTACCCATGTGCGCAGCGTGCCATCGGTCAAGGTATGAGTGATATCGAGCCAGTACTTTTCGGTAGTCAAGGGCTTACAGGCGGACTGTCAGTTAAGTACACCAGAGTCTTGTCGCAAGGCCACGGGTGGTAGCCTCCGGATCCACCTTGTCTGCTTAGAGAATGGTGGAGTCTTATACTTCCGTCCCAACCAAGGTTTGTCTTCGAGGATCGAGTCTCTTTTCGCGAAGCGAGCGAACCAAAAGTGAACGGTCCTGATGGTAGTGGTGTCCTCCGCCAATGCACTGCTGATGTTGCGGACAGCTGCCGCTGCTCCAGTGCCGCGGGGCCACTGATAGAACATGATGACCCGAAGATGCTCCTGTGAAACTGACATCGTAATTAGACCCAGGAAAGAGCAGGCGCCCTCACACACCTCTTGCAGGAAAGCTCTCAGAATGTTCTACAAGCATGGCATGTTACGTCATGTTCAAGCATCGAGAATCAAAAACTGTAAGCTTCTTAAAAAACACTGACAGGACTTTCCTTCCAACCCAATATAATACATGTTCAACGCAGTAGATCGATTTTATACGAAGTGATCAATGCTTCAGATTGAATTTCCTTTCAAAGGAAAGGAAGGGCGATTTACAGCACAGAACACATCTTGAGGTTATAACTCTAGCTTCAGTACTGGGAGCTTCATAAGTCATCTTTGACGAAAGAACGGCGGAAGTAAGCAATAATCACCTCAAGTAGAAGATCGTTGAAATCTGGAACGGAGAAGAGCCTTTCCCTCAAAAGTGAGTGACATAGTCGGTTGGTTTCTATTAGAAAATCCAGTTCCTGAACGAATCCATCAAACCGTTGCTAGGAGAACTAATGAAAAATCAAGTGAAAACCCAAACATACCACAATACTAGAAAGCTCCGCACTTTCAAACATCCATATGGCTGTATCAAGAGCTTTCAGTAGCGCTATGCTAATCCGTTGAGAAATCAAACGATTCAGATCAATAGAACGGCCAAGCAACTACAAATAACACGTCATTTACAAGAACCATACATACGAAGAATGAAATAAAATAGTCACCTGTACATGCCTTTGCCTGAGGACACTATCAAAACGGCATGCAGGAGGGGTTCGAATTGTTACTCCTGCCCTTTGACAGTCCAGTTTGAAACGTTTGTCGAGCATCATGCTAATACAAGACAGTTTCCAATGGGGCTCTGAGTGTAAGAATGAGAAGAAGCAAGTTGTTTGAAGTGTGTGAATACCATATCGGATAATTTATAAATGAATTGATCGAAGCACAGATTCACTTCGGCTTCCACCTCAAGATGATTTGGTACTCTTACCGACAGTAGACAAAATAAATGTCAAAGCTTAAAAGAAGTACCTCGTCGAAAAGGAAACGCTTTCGGAAATTAAAGAGACTATAGTTAGCTGCATCGTTATATAGATCAAGTTGATATAACGCTCCTTCAACCAGAGATGAATCGGGATTAGTCAGAATATGGTCGGTGAGAATCCATGGAATGGACATTTCTATGGGGAACTGCAAAGCCATTTACTGACCAAACGGTAAAATCATTCATAATTTAAAAAGATCATGTAAGTTGGCTTCAAACATTAACTGCTCGATGTAAAGCGAAACAGTCAAGGAATGGAATTAAAGCAGTGAAACGAAAACTACAGAGGAGATCAAGATGCATGAATGGGAACGGAAAAATGGATCAAAAAAGTAAATAATGCGGAGAGCGGCTGGCTGGTGTAGCGGCAAAAGAGACTTGCAACGCGCGCGGCTGTGTGATCTTCGGATTCCTTGTGAGATCAATCTCGTCCCTATGTTGCTAGTCTTACTTTTTGTTTTTCCCTCTTGGATCTATTATAATTGATACTTAGATTTCGGTTCGGGAGTGACATATGAATCACTGACTCGTTTACTTTCTCCTATCTTCTCCCTACATTAGTTTTAGCCATTAACAGACCTATCTATCTGCTATTCTAACAAGTTTCAGTCATTTTCTGTATTTTTTGATGATCGCTGTTTTGATTTCGCTACTTTCTCAATGTTGGCTGCTTCTTATGTCTTTGTTTGTTGCTCGCGTGGTAATTTCTTCGTCGATATATGGTATATTCGTATATTCACGGGAACAAATTCTATTCTTTTGTTCTATTGTGCATTATTATTATCGTTTTATGTTTTTTCTCTATTCAATCTAATGGTCCAGTCCTTAGTTATATTACTGTAATCACTGCGCGTTGTGTCTATGTGAATGTTCAGTTACATATAATTAGTTTAGTCACTGACTTTTTTGGGGAAACATCATCCATTGCTGTTTTGCTTCAACTCTGGATTGGTTTGCTGATTAACTCTTCTGCCAACAAATACAGACAATTACAATATTGATAATGATGAAAAAATATTAAGGTGAAGGATTCTGAATCCTATAGAAAGCACGATTTGCGTTTTTTATGAATTGTTGGTTACAGACTATTTCCTGGCCCTGGTGCAAAGAGAGTTGGCCAGCCCAGATTTTTCCGTGGTAAATAATTGACTTACTTCACTGCTCTAAAAACTAGGTTTTTCGATCCAATCTCCTAAAAAAGCGCTTCGTGGGACGGCCTGAAGTGTATGCATGCCGCGCTTGTGCCGTTCAAGAAAGCGCGCCGGTCCCACGTGGCCGAAAAGTAAAAACCCGCGGTCGTCAACGTGAAGAGGACAGGCCCACGTGAGTTAATTTGATATACGTTGTGTGGTAGCTAACTACACTAAGAAATGATTATTTCAGGACTGACCAAGGCGCTAAACGCCGAAATATCGATCAATATTCTGAAGAGCTTTTTTGAAACCTTTGCGCCTTTTGAGTTCTTTGGAATAAACATTTTGAGACATTTCTTTTATTCTGAACATTTAGATAACCATGAGGCTCCGAGACAGTAAAATTCTCAACTATCGTAATGCATTACAAGAAGAGAGGAAGAAGAGGAATAGGAATGTTTACCAAGATGACCTACGACCACTGTGTGTGAGAATCTTGGTCTCGAATTCAACTCTATGGTATGTCGCTGCTCACCAAAGAAGGATAGCGCGCATTTTATGGAAGGATTCCAGAAAAATCACCTGAATACGTTGTCCCATTGTCATTTCCAGATAAAACTCTCGAAACCAGAGTTGGCTTAGCTCAGCTGCTTCAGTTAATGAATCAGAAAGTCGGAACAGGGCAGGCCAGTGGGTCGACTTACTGTAAGGAACAAGCATAAGGAGTTTTCATATATTGTGTGTCATTTTAAAGACACATGGTACGCTCAAACACATTGAGGGTGTATGAGACTATCAGCCCCCCAGCTGTCGATGTGTCGTGGTCCCCCGCCCAAAACTGCACGGGGTCAGAGTACGGGACCGTCGAAAAGTCGTAATTCCTTAC